GAGAGGGGAGGAGAGGGGAGGAGAGGGGAGAGGGGAGAGGGAGCTTGCAAAGTTGCCTGGGCAGCCTTGAGTTAACTCTAGCTCAGTCTTTCTTTCTTTCTTTCTTTCTTTCTTTCCTTTCTTTCTTTCTCTCTCTCTCTCTCTCTCTCTCTCTCTCTCTCTCTCTCTCTCTAAGTTTTTTGAGACAGAATTTCTCTGTGTTTCTGGATCTCTGAGCTAGAATCACAGGTGATTGTGAGCCCCAACTGTAGGTACTGGAAACCAAATTACAGTCCTCTGCAAGAGTGGCACAGACTCTTTTTTGTTGTTTCTCTGTGTTGCAGCTCTGGCTGTCTTGGAACTTGCTTTGCAGAACTCCCAGAGATCTGCCTGCTTCTGCATCCCAAGGGCTGGGATACCCAGCACCATACCCAGCCTTGTATTTTTGTCCCTTTTAGACAAGGTTCCATGTGCTTCAGGCTGGCCTCAAACTCAATGGGTGCACAGACATACTGTCTTAGTTAGGGTTACTATTGCTGCAATAAAACACCATAACCAAAAAGCAAGTTGGGGAGGAAAGGGTTTATTTGGCTTACACTTCCACATTGATATTCATCATCAAAGCAAGTCAGGACAGGAACTCAAGCAGGGCAGGGACCTGGAGGTAGGAACTGATGCAGAGGCCATGGAGGGGAGCTGCTTTCAGGCTTGCTCAGCATAGCTTGCTTAGCCTATATTCTTATAGAACCCAGGACCACCAGCCCAGGGATGGTACCACCTACAATGAACTGGATCCTCACCCATCAATCACTAATTAAGAAAATGCCTTACAGCTGAACCTTACAGAGGCACATTCTCTCTTCTCTCTGTCACATAAATTAACCCATTTATTGCAGACTAGTCAAGTCTGAAATGGCAGCACATCTATGGTCTTTCGGTTCCTCCAGTCTTGTGATGGCAGACTTGACTGTGACAGAAGCTGTAGGTCTAAGCCACTGTTTTCATCCAGGAACAGAGAGTGCCAGATGCCAACAGCTTGTCTCTTGATGTTGGTCTTTCCACAGAAGAAGCAAGTGTATGGCATGCTGGCTGATTTCAATTTTCTTCACTATTTTCTGGAGGGAAGGACCAGAGCAGGTCCCATATTTCCCAATGATCACTACTTTCTTGATGTATTTTAGTCATGTCACTGGAACCAGCAATTTCTCAGGTTCTCTCATTTTAGATAACTCTAGCTTGTGTCAAGTTGACATAAGACTAGCATACCTTCAGCAAAACATCCATATAACAACAACATTAATAATAATAAAATAAAAATAACAATACAAGAATAGTGTAGTTGGTTTTTTTACTTTTGAGGGCCTGCCACCCAACTCCCAAATAAATACATGGAGACTTATTTTTACTTATGAATGCCTAGTCTTAGTTTGACTTGTTTCTAGCCCGCTTTTCTAACTTAAATTTTTGTTTTTGTTTTTTGAGACAGGGTTTCTCTGTATTGTTTTGGTACCTGTCCTGGATCTCACTCTGTAGACCAGGCAGGCCTTGAACTCACAGAGATCTGCCTGCCTCTGCCTCCCGAGTGTTGGGATTAAAGGCCTGAGCCACCACTGCCTGGCTTGTTTCTTTTTGTTGTTGTTGAAGATTTATTTATTATGTATACAGCGTTCTGTCTGCATGTATGTCTGTCTGCAGGCCAGAAGAGGGTACCAGATCTCATTATGGATGGTTGTGAGCCACCATGTGGTTGCTGGGAATTGAACTCAGGACCTCTGGAAGAACACTAATGTTCTTAACTGCTGAACCATCTCTCCAGACCACTTAGGCTTGTTTTTAGCTAGCTCTTATAACTTAAATTAAGCCATTTCTATCAATCTATGTGCTGCCTGGAGGCTCGTACCTTATGTACGTACTTCTCATCCTGCTCACTCTGTCTCATGGCGTCTCCTCAGACCCTGTGCTTCTACTCCCAGCATTCTTTCTGTTCCCCAAATCCTGCCTAGCCTCCTGCCAATCAGCTTTTTATTAACAATGACAGCAACACATCTTCACAGTGTACAGAATCATTATTCCACAGCACCGTTTCTATTTAACTACGTTTTGCCTCTGGGCTTTTTACCTTTCTTTAGTCTATATTATCTTTCTTTCCTTCTCACTAGGTGGCTGGCTGTGTAGCTGGGTCGCTGACCCCTGGCATCCTCCTCTCCTCCTTTTTCTTGCTCCTTGCTCTTCCCTAAAATTCTCCTATTTATTCTCTCTGCCAGCCAGCACCACCTATTTTCTCTCTCTGCCTAGTTATTGGTTGTTCAACTCTTTTTTTTCCTCTTTTTTTTTTTCCTGGAGTTGAGGATCGAACCCAGGGCCTTGCCCTTGCTAGGCAAGCGCTCTACCACTGAGCTAAATTCCCAACCTGGCTGAATGTGAAGGTATGATGACACACAACTGTAATCCCAATACTTGGGAGGCATAGGCAGGTGAAATTCTGTCAGTCAGGGCTACTTAGTGAGACCCTATTGAAGAAAACAAAACAAAACAACCTTCCCACAAAAACAAAAAACAAGCAAACAAAAAAAAAAACTTGCCAAATTTTCATCTTGTCTAGACTTGAGCCTTGTCAAGAGAGACCACCAGGAAAATCATTATTTTCCTTCTTGGAATTAACTATGTAATTCGTTTCATAATGAATTTTTTTCTCAGTTCTGTTCTGAAAGTATAAGAAAAACTCGGTTAAATTTGAATTCACATTTAGAAAGTTTCTAGAGAAAGATTTCAAAGGGTAGTGCTTTTGGATTTTTCTAGGAGCTGGGAACTGAGACATGGGGGAACCAAACTTCTACAAAACCCTTTCCCTATGAAATCCCGTCATTCACCCTCTCTTTCACTCTCTCAGAGACAGCACCCATATGTATGTATGTATGTATGTATGTATGTGTGTGTGCGCGCACCCATATATACCTGAGAATTGTACCAAGGTCCTCTGGAAGAGAGCGGCCGATAGCTTTGGCTGGTTTCTTTCTCTCTTTTTCTCTTTCTTTCCTTCTTTCTTT